CACTCATGCGAGATAGGTGCTCCAGCCCTTTGAGCTTTCCCCTCACATCCTTTTCCGCCAAAATATTTAAAAATCTCTTATCCCAATGACTCAGCAAACCAAAAACACCCATTTTGTGACAGTTCAACCCTTCCTCATTTCTATCTATACAATTTTATAATTAATTGATTTTTTATTTAATCACCATAAGATACCAGTTACAAAGTTGTTCATGATCGGGTCTCAGTCATACAATGTTCCAGTACCCAGCCCTTCACCAGCGCACATTTCCCATCACCGCTGTCCTCAGTTTCCCTCCCGCCCCATTTTGGGGGATTGTTTTGTGGTTGGCATAAAGGTCAGAATCCAAATCCAACAAGGATTTCCATGACTTCCTCCAGAATGGAATCTGGGGGCACCCTGCCAGAAGTGCAATTGAGGGGTGACCTAGGGTAGTGCCACCTACTTCCCACTGTCTTATTTCCTCAAGTCAGTCATCCTTAGAGACCAGGATGAGTCAGGGGGACTCGCCCAGCGGAGCCCCTGTAGAGCAGCTTAGAGGGCCACGGGGGAGCTCTGTTCCCCAAGGTGGAAGCAGGTTCCTGCTTGGGCACAGCCTGGCTTCTGGGATTGTCTGAGGTGCCGCATGGAGTAAGTTAGGGCTCCTTGGGATCTGTTCCAGCCAGGCATGGGCTGATGTAGACACAGAGGTGATGGTTATGAAGGACGAGGTTTTCAGGCTCAATAATCCTGACCTGAAAGAGGAGGCCGTTGGGTAGGGCCACTTGGGGCCACTCCAGGGTCAGGGAGAAGGCAGAGGGATTGGGGGACAGGAATCTTCCTCTGAGAAGGGACTAGTGAGGGTTAAGATGGGCCCATATGAATGATAATGGTGGGGCGGGGCATAGGGGTACCCCCTATCCCCGTGCCCAGATGACTGGCTCTCAGGGATCAGGGTAAGGGCACAGGGGCCCTGGGGTGTGAGGAGGGGGTGGCACAGTCTGCGAGGGGACTTTGGGTTAGTTCTCACAGGCAAGGGGTTCTGGAGCATCTTGAGGAACTGCGTTGACCTAGGAGGGTAGTTGCACATGTGTAGCTTAAACAGGAGTTCCTGGGAAACTGCTGGCTGCCCTCACCCCTCACCAGCAGGAGAAAGGGGGGAAGGGTCTTTTCTTGGGCACTGTGACAGTGCATTTCCCAACATGCACATCAATAGCTCATCTCACTGTCACACACACACACACACACACACACACACACACACACACACACACACACATGCTCACACACACATGTGCACCACAGTTTTTAGAAATGCTGATTTTACAGATGAGAGTGTGAAGGCTCAGAAATGCATGGGAGGATGTGTCTGGAGAGCGGGTAGGGGGAGAGAAAGGGTGAAATCTGGTTGTCTATCCAACCCTCAGCAAAGGGTCACAGGGAGTCATGTGATCTTACTCTTGCTTTGACTGACCTAAGAGAAAGAGAGGTAATTTAGTCAATAATTCTGAATAGGTGCTAGAGCGATAGCACAGCGGGTAGGGCATTTGCCTTGCACACAGTCGACCCGGGCTTGATTCCCAGCATCCCATATGGTCCCCGGAGCACTGTCAGAAGTAATTCCTGAATGCATGAGGCAGGAGTAACCCTTGTTTATCACCAGGGATGTGCGGAGGTGAGGTGGGGACCATGCTGGGGTCCTGGCAACTGGATTTCACTTCCCTCCAGGTCTCTCTCCCTCTCCCTCCCATTGACTGTGGAGCATTAATTCACAGTATGGTTGTCTCTGCTAGGGCAACCCAGAAGCATTGAGGAACTCAGGGCTTATTTTACTGTCTGCCCATGTAACCTAGATTACATGGATTGTTTTAAGGAGGAAAGAATAGAGGCCAGAGAGGGGAAGTGATTTACCCTATGTCACACAACTGGTTTAGAGCATCTCCACAAGGGCCTGGCCAGTCTGCCCACTGGTCTCCGTCTTTATTGGAATCTGGAGCTTTGCTTCCTAGCAGCTTGAGGACACGGCTTCGATGACCCACTGGATACCAAAGGACCTGGTGCCATGGGCTCGGGTTGCGAACAGCGATGCTCGTGATGGTGATAAGATACCAGACGACGTTTACTGATGTAGACTGGAAACTTAGAGTCCATTAGAGCCAAGGACTTGCACCATTGGGTGTGACCTCACGGTGACCCCTTGTTCTTAGGTGCAGATAACAAGATCCATTTAATTAAAGCAGAAAAGTATTTGTTGGGGGGCACAGGTCATTTTGCATTGTTGGCTGAGTAGAAGAAAGACCCTTGGCTGAGCTTCCAGGAATGGCTCCCCACTGCCCTGTGAAAGGAAGCGCTGGCCTCTGATAGCATCTCAAAGGTGTTGCCACCACCACAGTTTCCAAGAGCTGTGCCACCTTTGCCACTTTCTTTATTTTGTTGTTGTTTTGTTTGGGGGCCACACACAGCGATGCTCAGGGCTTACTCTGGGCTCTGCACTCAGGTACTACTGCTGGAGGTGCTCAGGGGACCTTTAGGGATGCCAAGGATCAATCCTGGGTGGGCTGCATGCAATGCAAACATCCTATACCGCTGCACTGTTGCTCCAGTTCCCACCTCTGCCACTTTCCGCACCAGCGAAACAGTGCCTCTCACAGACCGCTCTCTCATGCAAATGTGTCTCATGGGTTCTGGTAAAGCTGGATCTAGAACCAAAGCTACAAGGGAGTCTGGGAAATGTAGTTTTGTCTCAGAAAAAGGCAAGGGACAGCAAAGCCAGAGTTCTCCATGTGTTTGATGCACTCAAGAGTTTGGGAGGAACAAAACCTGTAAATGGACTTTTACAGTACAGTAATTATTCCAATTAAGAGACAGTGTACAGAGGGGCCCTGAGAGTAGGAGTCCAAAACACAGGGGCATTTGAGTTGGGTATTGAAGGACTATCATATTGACATGAGTTTTCCTGGTAAGAAAGATTTAAAAAGGAGTTCAAAGCACAGAGGGGAAAGGGGGGGGGGGGTGATAAGATAATTTGGGTTACTCAATGCATTGGTTCTTTTAACACCTGAGCACTAATCATCCATTCATTTTGTGAGTAGAAGTGATTTTATTCTGTAAGAGTTTTAGTACTTTAAAATATTCTTTTAATTCCTTAGATATATAAGATAAACTGAGATGATCAAATATAAAATGAATTACTATATATCTAAAAATTATGAATGTTTTTATTATTATTATTTATTTATTTATTTATTTTAAGGGGAGTCACACCAGGTGATACTCCGGGGTTATTCCTGGCTCTGCCCTTAGGAATCACTCCTGGAAGTGCTTGGGGAACCATATGGGATGCTGGGGATCAAACCTGTTGGCTGCATGCAAGGCAAACTCCCTACCCGATTACTGTTGCTTCATCCCCTATGAATGCTTTTAAAAGAAGTTAATTTTGGGGTAAATTAATTTAATTTTTAAAGCATACCTACAGGGCCAATAATCTAGAGCTGTTTTTCTTGCACATGATCAACCTTGGTTGCAATTCCTGGCACTGCATATGGTCCCCTGGGCACCCGTAGGAATATTCCCTGAGCACAAAGCCAGGGGTAAGCCCTGAGCACAGCTGGATGTGGTTCAAGAAACAAATAAAAAACAAAAGCTTACCTACATAAATGCTTACAGGAGGTCAGGGTTGGGGTGTGTGTTAAATTTACAGGTAAACACAGCTGGCACATGATTCTGTAAATATTTTTTAATATTATGAATATAATGATTTCATGCCATTTGGAGGTTGCCGTGGATGGAACCCGGAACTACATACACTACATCAGTAAGGCCTGTGCTCTTCCTGAGACGCTTCTCAGCCCCTTCAGGTCCTCCTGTCATGAGGCTTCTAGGAGATGTAGGAAGAATCTTTATCTTAAATTCATGGTCGTTTTTTGGGGAGGATGGACAGCACCCAGAAGTGCTCAGGGCTGTCTCCTGGCTTTGCACTCAGAGATCACCTAAATGATGAAGAGGAATGGCATTTTTAAATGGCACATTTAAAAACACACATTAGATCTCAGTACAGGTAAAGTAAAAGGCCCTCCCGTTGATCATCGATTTGCTCGAGCGGGCCCAGTAATGTCTCCATTGGAGACCTTGTTGTTACTGTGTTTGGCATATTGAATACGTCATGGGGAGCTTGCCAGGCTCTGCCATGTGGGCGAGATACTCTCGGTAGCTTGCCGGGCTCTCCGAGAGGGGCGGAGGAATTGAACTCGGGTTGGCCGTGTTGGCTGCGTGCAAGGCAAACGCCCTACCGCTGTGCTATCGATCTCAGTTCAGAGTAAACCTAATTTCCCTCTGCAGAGGGAGATGCTACTGACATTGCTTTATTACAAGCTGGAGAGACAGGTCAGGGGGATGGCGCTAACCTTGCATGTGACTGACCTGGGTTTGATTCACAGCATCCCAGATGATCTCTCTGAGCACCACCAGGAGTGATCCCTGAGTGCAGAGCTAGGCATAAGACCTAAGCACTGCCAAGAATGCCCCCCCCCCTCCAAATTAAACCAACCAAACTAAAATGGGAACGTGGTTTCACTGATATACCAACCCTATTGGGCTGCTCTGGCACGGAATGGGCAGTATCCCAGAGGTTTGAAGGGGAGAGCACCCCCTTTCCCCGGGCAGTTGGAACTGCCAAGTAAGAAGCGACCAGCTAACTCCAGGACGGACCTCAGGGGACAATGGGAGCCAGGCTGCACCCCAGGCTCCTCCGCACCCCTGTCACCATCCCTGCCCCCAGTCACCCAGTTGGAAGCAAACCTGCCTCTGGCTGAAATGGGTTTATACTCCTGGTTCTAGGGAAACAGGACTCAAGCCAGGGGTTCTCCTTAATGAATAATTCACTAGTTGAGGGCTGGTTTGCTCTATTGATCTGGCCAGGATAAATACTAACCCCCCTCCCTACCGCCCCCAAGAGCCCTGGCAGACCCCAAATCTGGGGGTGGTTTCTTTGTGTAGTGACCCCTGTTCCTGTCGGTCCCCAGGTACTTCGAGTTTTACGAGGGTCCTCTTGAATATAACTCCACAAGATGCCTGGAGCTGAGGCAGGAAATCTTGGAAGTGAAGGTGCTGTCCATGTAAGTGTGGCCTGTGGGCGCAGTGCATGTGCGGGGTGGGAACACGGGCAAGGTTGGGGGGTGGGTGGGAACATGGGGGCTAGGAGGTGGGAGGAAGTGGAACAGAGTGGATCTGGGGGAGGCAAAAGTAGGTCGTATTTGGGGGGAGTAGGGAGAGCATTTGGAGAGCCCTGGGGGAGAAAGGCAGCGAGGACAGTGAGTGTTTGAAGACAAAGGTCACACTGGCAAGGTCACCTCCAGCTCTGCAGCCCCGGCTCAGTTACAGTGTCTGATTAGCATCACTGGGCAACGCGGAGGGAAATCGAGCGGCCCCGAGTGTTGTGCCTGAAATTCCGCTCTCCGTGCTCCAGAGCTGAGCTGCCTGCCTTCTGGCTAGCAGTGCTCTGTCGTCATTAAGGATACTGGTATTTAAAACATGACTGAAAAGGCGAAGCGTTTAAGTGGGTGCTGAGATGTTTGCTGTGAGTCTTCCGCTGCCCATGGGCTCGAGACTCTTTCTCTGTCTTCTTGCAGAAGACATTCCCCGCCCCGCCCCCCCCCCCCCCCCGGAGGAACTGTCCTTGCTTCTGTTGGGCAGTGGGGCACAACACCTGGTCCCACACCTAGTGGGACTCGGGGGGGGGCCTTATGGCGCCGAGGATCCAATCTGGGGCGTCCACATGCAGAGCATGTGCTCCAGTCCGGCGGGTCACTCCCCAGTCCCTTACTTTTATCCCTGACCCCCTCCTCAACAAATGAATGAGAGAAGGACCGTGTTCCGTGGCTTCCCCAAATCAGCCTTTGGGAGAAACTGCTCGCTCACGAGCTGCATTTGTGTGTGTGTGTGTGTGTGTGTATGTATGTATGTATGTATGTGTGTGTCCAGCTCTCCTCCATTCCCAACTAGCCCCCTTCCCTGCCATAAACGGGCATCTGGCCCCCTCGAGAGACAGCCTGCATGGTCAGGCTGGACAGGACCACAGCTATTGAAAGCAATGCTGTACCAATGCAGGCTACGTTGCAGTCAAGCCGAGTCAGGTGTGCATGTCGAGACCCAGCCCCTCCCCCACCCCAGATGTGGCCCCTGCCTGCCGCCCCTGTCCTCCGGGCAGCGGGCAGCTCCATTAGGTGTTTGACCTGATTTCCAGGTCGTGGGTTAGAGAGATCCTGGGCTCAGTATGACTCAGAGCTCCAAGGGAACTCTGAGTTTTACCAACACAACTTGGCTTCACTGCTCAGAGGCTTTCCTTCCTCACCCCAATGTGAACACAATTCATGACCCCGTGGGAGGTGCCGAAGGGATGGGTAAGGTCCCAGAAGCAGACAGCTGTTCACAGGGGTACAGGTTCGAGGTGCCCTATGTTCAGCCTGCCCCACCCCCACCTTCTTTCCCAGAAGCCTCAGGGCCGTCATGCAGAGGCCATGGACGCAGCAGCTACTGGACCACCCCAAAGATAAGCCCAAATGCTCACTGTACTACCCACATCCCTGTTCTAACCAGGGGTCTCTCGACCCCCTCTAGGGAGAAGTCCAAGAAGCCACGTGCCACTCTCATGTGTTGGATAACTTTGGGTTGTCCTTGCTCTTCCCACAGGGAGCTTAAGGTTTATTGAACCACTTCCACAATAGTGCCCTTGAGGCACACCCAATTCCATCAATCACTAATAATCCTATATTGCTTTTCTCTTTCCTTTATATCATTTGCATTATTTATTCAGCAATGTCCTTTTTTTTATAGATACAGGAAGACAATTAATGCTATGCTATGTGACATGGAAGTTAATTGACCCCATAATAATATTTACTCCCGAGCATCCATATTTACTTGATGTAAGCCTCAATTACCCTTAGTTCCTAACACTTGAAGAACAGGGTCCTGATGAGAGACTGGACGGACCCAGGGCAAGCTGTGAGCTACCCTGGCATCAAAATGGGCCAGGCCAAGTGCCATAATACTTAACTATATTAAGAGCACAGTCATGTACAAACTCTGTCATGGTCCAAAAAGAAGTAACTGAATAAGGACTCTGCTGGGTTTAGGAGAGACTAACGTGGCCTGAAGTCTGGAATATATAGTGAGATGTCCCCAGGAAGAGCCAACCTTTAAGCTTAATATATCTCTTACTGTGTTCATACAAAATGGTATTGGTAGAAATATTGTAAGAAGTAAATTTACTATGATGGTTTAAATGGATTACTAGCTGAGGAAAGGAGAAAGCAATACACTCTAGATGGAAGGAATCCTGCCCTTGAGTGGATCTCTTAGAAATCTGGAGTGCTGAATCTTCAGATGAGATTTTTGTCCTTGATTCAATCTCCTGAAGGAGAGGCTTTACATCTCTTTGTTGTTATGATAAATGTTCAACCCCACCTTTGTGTATCTCCACCCTTCATGATTTCTAAATAACTATGCTGTAAGGGAGATGTAAAAGTCAGAACAAGATGTTGAAGACATTGGGGACTAGTTGTTGGGGAAGAGAATATCGACGACTAGATGCTGAGGACTAGATGCTGAGGACTAGATGTTGAGGACTAGAAAGTAGATGAAGAGATGTTGAAGATGAGGAGGAGAACTGAGACTTTGGGGACTTTGGGACTAGAAGGAGAAGCAGATGACGATGATGGTTGGAAGTAGAGGACTATGAGACTACGTCAGGATGAGGAAGAAGATATAATGAAAGAGAGAGGACTTTGAGGTCCACGAGGAGACTAGATTGATGTAACTGTGATGACTGGGACTACGACCAAAAGGACAACTACGACTGTGCCGTGAGGGCAGAGATCAGATGGCACCAGAGAGGAGAGAGAAATAACCCGACTACTGACTGGCCTGGGGCTCCGGTTCCCCATCTGTCTGCTGTCACCATGGACCAGCCTGGGGAGGGATCTCTTGGTTACTGAATGCTTGAATTCCGTCCTGCATGTGAGTGCCTGCGTATGAGTACCCACCACACCTTTTTAATTTAAAACCTACACCCATGTCGAGCCCACCAGCCCTTGCTGACACACACCAACTAAACTAGGGGGAATACCAGAGCTATGCCAGGAGAAACTGCTATGGCCAGGTGGGAAGGGCCAGGGCAGGGCAGTGTCCATGTGAGGGGTCCAGACAGATGTCAGCCCTGGCAGAGCCTTGAAGAGTTGAGTTTGTCTTTCTCTGAAGTCCAGGGGCGCCTACCTGAAGGATTCAAGCAGGTGGGCACAGTGTCCGTGGAGTGACTGGGGGTAGGGTTTCTTTAGCTGCATGGCAACCCAGATCACAGACAAAACTCAGATTTATGAGCATGTAAGTGGGATACCATGATTTTGGCTCAGTATTCAGCTTTCAGGCCCTCTATGGGGGAGCACCGTAGTAAGGGCACACATTTGTGTTTTCCAGGTGGAAATAAAATTATTTTGGGGGGGGATGATTTTTGGACCACATCTGGTGGTGGCCAGGGCTTACTCCTGGCTTTGTGCTCAGGGATAACTCCTGGCAGGGCTTGGAGCCCAATTTGGTGCTGGACCAAAGGCCAGTTCTGATGTGTGCCAGGCACACACCTTCCCCACTATACTTCTCTCTGAGCCCTAAACTGTAAAGTCAGGATATGCAAAGTGTCTTCATGGAAACAGAAGGTATGTGAGTTCTATGCCGAGATCCTCCCCTTTGGATCACCATCTACCAGACTTGCCTCTATATTTGCTCCAAGGCTCGTTGGCTAGGGTCCTCATGACCCAGGGCCACAGACTTAAGTGAAGAACTCACAGGGCTGAGGCCTGAAGTCCAGGCTCCAGGTGTGGTGGGGCTGGTTGCTCCGGAGGCCTCTGTCCTGAGCTTGCAGATGGCCGCCTTCTCCTCCATCTTCTCTCGCTCATGGGGTGTCGGCCCATCCTCATGATGTCACTTTAACACCCTGTGAAGATCCCATCTCTAAATACAGTCACATTCTGAGGATCAACACAGGAATCTGCAGAAGACACAATCTAGTACCTGGGAGTCCTGATCACTGCATCCGCCTAGGGCTGGGCATTCTACTGAACATCCAAATCACGTGTGTGATTGGGGAAACCTCCTCTCTCAGCCCCATCCAGGCCCGTGGATGGGTTTGGTGGGTTTGCCTCTCCTGCTCGCCTCTGCTTCGGATGCCCTTCCTGGGCCTCCTCTGAGCTGTGCCACCATCCCAGCTGCTGACCTCTCGGGCTTGGCACTGGATGGCCAGTCGTTCTTCTGGTAGTCTGGGTGCTGCAAGAGAGTGGGAAAGATGGAGGCAGCTCCCGGGCTATCCATGTGTGAGCCCTTGGGGATAGTGGGGTGCCCAGAGTCGAGGCTCGGGGTCTCCAGGGCTGAAATCTAAGAGCCCAAGGCCGGCCTCTGCTCTGAGTGGTTCTGACAGCCCCAAGCCTCTCTGGGCTTTGATGTGCTTCGGCCCAGACCACACCAGCGGCTCATGGAGCTGCTGCATCTGTGGAGAAGGCTGCATCCTCGTCTGTAGATCAAGGGCGGGGGGAGGGGAGGGTTGGGGGAGTGGGGGGTGCTGCTGGCTGTGTGCCAAGGCCCCGCAGGCACACGGATGCCAGCTGGCATTTGGGCTGAGGAGACAGGCAAGGAAGAGTGTGATTCACCGGGGGCTGACTCCCATTCCTGACTCCCATCCCAAACTGCTCACATGGATGGTAAAAAGCAGTGGGCTGGAAAATTCCCACATGGAGAATGCTGCCTTTCCCGGAGGACGCAGGGACCCGCAGAGTTGCTGTGGGGTGATGCGTGATGAAAGGACATGAGAGAAATGATTGTGCTTGAGTTTAGTCCTTCCAGAGCTGTGTATTCTTCAGCCTGGGTACACCTGCAGACTGGCACCTGCCCTGCAGACCGCTCCATGGACCAGAGATGCCAACCAAGTGCTAGAGCAGTGGGTCCCACCTTCCCACACCTGCATGCCTGAGTGCAGGAGGAGCAGTGATGGAAGAACACCACTTTCAATGTTCCAAGAGGCCTCCCCTCCCCTTCTCTCCCTTCCCCTCCCCTCCCCTCCTCTTTCTTC